AAATATTTTTTAAATGTCAACAAGTGTCATCGCCGTAATAAATAATCCAAACACTTGCTATAAAAAAAAAAAAAAAAAAAAAAACAACAAAATAATAATAATAATAATAATATAAATAATTAACGAACGTTTTCTAAAAATAAAAAAAAATCATTAAAAAAAAAAAGAGAGAGAGAGAGAGAGAGAGAGAGAAAAGTTCATTTCTTATAAATGTAAACCAGAAATCAAATTTTGCACTTTTTTCGTTTGTTTGTTGCAAATCGTAAAAAATTTAACAAATTAATATTAATCTGATTAATAAATTTCTTAAAGTACTAATAATAATAATAATAATAATAATAATAATAATAATAATAATAATAATTTTAAAATCGAGTTAATCAATCAATGATATCGAATTCAATTTTAAAACTCGATTATTCATTTTCAAATTGAATCACACACACACACACACACACACACACACAATAAAATTTATTCGTTACAAGTTATTAATAATTATTTAACAATTATTCTCTATTCTGAAATTACTCAATAATTAAATAAATAAAAAAAAAGAATTTAATAAGTAAATAAATAAATAAATTTTCAGTTTCCTTCCATTCACTCTCATGTGATTCGTACAATTAATAACAATTACAAATCACCAACGGTTATGAGAGTTTCGAAAAATTATTACAATTTGAATATCATTTCTATTGACATCATTATAAAAATTGACTTCTCATTATTATTATTATTATTATTATTATTAATAATAATTACTTGTTTGTATTTGTATCGTCAAAAATAAAATTTAAATTGAAAAATCAAAAAAAGATTCGAATGAATTCGAAACGACTAAACATAAATATACACATATGAATTATCAATTTGAATTCGACATTGAATGTTTTTTACATGTACATAACATTCATCAATCATACATATATTATAATTTTAAACTTTATATTGATAAATATAAATAGAAATATTAACATGTCACAAACACTTGACCAAGCATGCGATATTTTTTTTTTTTTCGATTTGATTTGTAAATCTTAATACTAATTACCAGCACTACGAAAAAAACACACACACACACACACACACACACACTGATATTAAGCTGAAATAAAAAAAAAAAAGGAAAAAAATAACAATAGTATTAATCACTGATAAAAAGGTTTTCAATATTTGTACAATGATAAGATTTTTTTCCTTTTTTTTTTTTTTAAATTATGTTTTTCTATTGTTTAACGATAAGTTTTCTTCTATCTTTATGTAATACATTTTTTTCTTTTTAATTGTTATAATCTTTAAAAGTAAAAAATGTAATACAAATATATAAAATAATGCTAATAATTATGATATTAAATGATAATATTAATAATAATTAATATCATTTTATAATAAATCAATTTATGAAACAATTCAACACACACACACACATTAAACCAAATGATAACCAAATATAGATAAGGTAAAAACTATATAATCGTAATGACTTTTAAAAAAAAAAAAAAAAATTCACTCTTAAAATACTTAATAATAATAATAATAATGATTTAAATAATAAAATATGTATGTGGAATGTAAAAAAAAAAAAAAATTAAAAAATTTCAACTTACTTGATTCGTATGTAAAACCAATCCCCTCCCCCCTTAAAGAAGGGATGGTAAAAAATTTAATGGCTTCGAGCAACTAAAACTGTATATGATGCGAATGAGAATAAATTTTTTTTTTTTTTAAACACCATTCGCAAACGATTGATTGAATATAAATAAATTTTAAAAAAAAAAAAGACTTTAATTTAAATAAATTTTCCTTTTATTAATTTCGTTTGATAATAAAATTAATAATTTTGATAATCGCGAACACAATTCGATTAATTTTGACACTAAAATAATGATAATAATAAAATAAATTCTGATATAATAACTCTCACGCCGACATGTTTACTCGAAAAATGAAACTCGTCAAGTTGGCACTACGTTAAATGTTAAATTTAATCGGCCAATGAGAAACGAGATTGGTCGTGACGTCATAGCGCGGGTTTTTTCCCACCTTCTTTCTATAGTCACGTCATTAAACGTTTAACCTCGCGGTCAACCGTATTTTTATGTTTTGTAAAAAATTCGTTATTAAATAAAACTTTCATAGGTAAATACTTATCGTATATTATTTTCTTTTTACTTAAAATTTAATTTTTTATAATAATTAATAATAAACAAACAATAATTATAATAATATTTCAAAATGTATATTAAGTCACATAGAAAAAAAAAAAAAAACCGTTAAGATTTATACATATATATATATATAAATCAAAAACTTTTCATTAATTAAACAAAAAGAAAAATTCATAATAATATTATTTTAAATTTAAACAATCATGAACGAATCGTATTAATAATTAATTAATTAATTAACATTAAAGCATAATAATAATAATAATAATAATAATAATAATTGAAAACAATATCGGTGTCTATAAAAAATCAAATAAAAAAAATTTTCAAAAATTTTAAAAAAATATTCCAAAAAAAAAATTGATTAAATTTTTAAACAATAAATAATCAAAAAGGATTTCAATTTATTTTTATTTAATACGAGATTAATTTATTATCATTATTATTATTATTATCATTATCATTATTATTATTACATTCAATCAATCAATCAATCAATCAAAAAAAATACAGAAAGGAACTGTAAAAACTACATGTTGGAAAAATTACTTCATCTCTCTCTCTCTCTTTATTTTATGTCACTATTAACTTTTTATTTATTTATTTTTTTTCATCAACAATAAGGCCATAATTATTTAATATATATATATATATATATTGACGGTATTATTATTAATAATAATAATAATAATAATTACAAACTACTCAATTATGTATTTATGTATATATATTAATATAATTATTAAATAGAAAAAAAAAAAAAAACTACACAAAGGCCACATGTACGATTTAATTTGATACAAAAAATATATATATTATTAGCAGTAATAATAATAATAATAATAATAATAATAATAATAATGACAATTTCATAACCTTTTTTTTTAAAACAAACAAGAAAAAAAAATGATTTTCAACATTACAATAACCGTTAAAAAAAAAAACTCAAAAAATCAAAAAAAGAATAATAATAATAATTATCATTATTATTATTTTTAATAAATTATAATTTTTTAATTAATTTATTTAAATTTTTAATTGGCACCCATTGACGCGATCGTAAACCAAAAATATAAAAAAAAAAAAAAAAAAATAAGGCACTCAAAACACACGCACACACACAAACAACAAACAACATAAATACGTTAAATTTGTGTATTTATATAAACGCACGTACGCACGCACCTACGCACACACGTGTATTTCGACTTCTGATCAGTCCATATCAATCATTAATAATAATAATAATAATTTTTCACCATCTTTTATATGCGTGTGTTTGTATTTTGTTAAGAATTTTTTTTTTTTAATAACGAAACTTTTATTATTATTATTAACTATATTAGTAGTAATAATAATAACAAAGCATGTTTGTAGGTGAGTGCGTGTGCGTGCATTAACACGTACTTACACACGATATATTCACTTGCACTACACACACACACACACGTGTATAAAACGGGCAAGTACGAATTTTATTTATTTATTTATTTATCAATTTTATTAACTTCATTAAAACGAATTATCATTATTAATTAATTTATTAAAAGCTCGAATTATTATTATCATTATTATTATTATGACTTTTCTTTCTCTACGCGGCATTATGAATTTTCCTACAAAGTCTACTTAACTCGTTGACATTAACGTGTGTTCGTGTGACGTCATCAAAAATGACCGTTACACGCCTAAAAACTACTTTAATTGTAGTGGTGGTGGTGGTGGTTATGGTACTGATAAGAGCCTGAACCTTTTTCGAAAATTCTCTAAAATACCTATTATTATTATTATTATTATCCGTACAACTACGATACTCCGTAAAACGATCACGTTCGCAGACGAAAACACATAATAATAATAATAATAATAAACGATTACCACGTTTCATTTTACAAACTAATACATTCGAAATGATGATGATGATGATAAAAACCATTTTCCTTATAACACGATCAATAATAATAATAATAATAAAAAGGAAAATTTTTCTTCTCTTTCTCCCGTTAAAGAAGACGAAGAAGAAAAAGAAGAGGAAAGCGTAAAAGGAAGACATAAAGGAAGACGTGTAGGAAAGAAGAACAAATAATAATAATAATAATAATAAAAACTTTTCGACATTTTTCATAGAGTAAAAAAATTTGAAAAAAAAAAAAATTTCTAATTAATTTAATCGGCTCGTAATAAAATAAAAATTCAATTTAATTTAAAATAATAATAATGATAATGATAATGATAATGACTTTCGATCGAGGCGACAACTGTTGGCAACAACAACAACAACAACATCACTCACAATCAGCTCGAATGCTTGCTTCCTTTCTTCCTACCCTCTCTCAAACATTCAATCAATCAATCAATCAATCCCTCTGTTGTTTAAATGAGTGCATGTGCGTGCGTGCGTGTTTGTGTTTGTTTTGTGTTTGTCTGCGTGTGTTTATAACTTTCTCGTTTGTTTTCACCAGAATCCGACTACTTTGTTTGTTTTTTTTCTTCCATTTTACACAAATTATTGTTACTACTTATTAATAATAATAATAATAATAATAATAATAATAATAATAATAATAATAATAATAATAATAATAATATTAATTAAAAATTAACATTCCTTTCTTTTTCTCAATATTAAACAAAACAAACAAAAAAAAAAAAAAATACTAATAATGATAATGACGGTAAATCGGGGGAGGAGAGGGCAGGGTAGGGGAGGTGGAAGGAGAGTGGGAGTAGGGGCGGGGACCGACGTACGGTTGGATTAATAATATATAAGAATAATAATAACGTTTGGGGGGGTAGGGGAGGAGAATGAGGAGGGGGGGAAAAAGGATTTTACATGTTTTCAAATTGATCGACTCGTCGCTTCGTGTTACCCTTTCGAATCTCTCTCAAAGTCTTGTACTTGTCCCGTCCGACGCGAACGTTTTCCCTATGTATTTTATCCATGGCAGTTTCTTTAGTTTCGTCCAGCGATTGCGCCAAATCTTGCTTGAGCGCCTGGAAAACAAACAAATGTTAATAATAATAATAATAATGATGATAATGATAATAACGACAACGCGTCACGCATCATATTTATTGGAAAATTCTCTCACTTTCAACTGATCGTGAAGGCGTTCGTTTCTTTCGGCCAGAGTACGTCTTTCTTCGACCGGATCCACGATATTCGAATCCGTTTCTAATTCTTTCGTCACGTCACCGTTGGGCAAATCATCGTTTTCGTCATCGTGTTCGGCGACGTGATGATGCTGGGGAGTCGTTGACGCCGCCAAAAATTGCATGTTGGCTTCCTTTTCCTTTTGCCTCGCTTCTTCCACTTCCATCTGTAAAATTAAACATTATCATTCGAATCGTTTATTTTCATTCCCCCCCCCTCACACATCCCTACGTACCTGTAAACGTTTGGTTTCTTCCGCTTTGATATCGACTTCGCTTTTGACGCGTAACAATTCTTCTTGTTTCGCCGATATTTCATCTTCCAATTTTTGCCTTTCCGCGGCTTCCATGTTCTTCGATTCTTCCAATCGAATTATCATCATCTGTTACATAAAACACGCAAAATAGCTATAAGTTTACACACACACACACCCCCGCATCCCTCCCCCCATCTCCTTCGTTTCATCCACTCTCACCTGTAATTCATTTTGCCTAGCCTCCAATTCATCTTTGGCTACCTGTACTTCTTTTAATTGTTCCACGAGACGCGTTATCGACTCTTGAGCCTCGTGCAAATCTTGTTTCTTTTTCGCCAAGTCTTCAGTCACAATTTTAAAACGTTCTTCGACTTCTAAATATTTCTTTTCGGCTCTTTCTCTCGCCTGTATTTCCAACTGAAGTTTTTCCCTATGATGAAAACAAGAAACAAAATGTTAAAAACGCAACTACCTCCTGTTGCTCCTCTTTCTCCTACACCTGCTACTACTACTCCTCCTTCTATTTCTCCTACACCTCCTACGCTTTCTCACCTCTGTTGCAATTTTGCTATTTTCTCATCTCTCGCTTGAGCTTTCATTTGTTGAACGTCGATCGTGTCGGGTTTCCTTCTCCTCATGTACAAATCGTGATTTCCCATGCAGAGAATCAAAATCCTCTTGTTGATTTTTATGCGGGGAGCGAAGAAAACAAAATCGGGAGCTTTTTTATCGATGGGTTTGATCATGAATTTTTTATCGTTGAACGATATGTTACGAATTTCCGACCATGGGAAACCGATTTTCGGCGTCAACCTAACACGAAGAAAAAAAAGGGAAAATAATAATAATAATAATAATAATAATAATAATGATAGGGGTTACTCCCCTACCCCCCCCCCCCAAAATTTTGCTTCTTTTCCCCTTCAATACTCACTTATCATCTTTTTCGTATATGTTTAATCCCAACGCGTCGACTCCCAACCACAACTCGGTTCCTTTCTTGTTACGAATTTCAAAATAATTTACACCGTACATTTCTAAATCTTGGGCTATTTTTAAATATTCCATCATCGAATCCTCCCTGAAACAAACAAACAAACAAACAAACGGAAAAATTAAAAAAAATTTCAGAGAAAAAAATTTGTCGGGTCACCCCATCAAGAGGGGGAGAGAAAATCAACCTGCCAGGTTCGTCAATCAGTCAGGAGTGGAGTGTTGTTCAAAGACGCGGGAAAATGAAAAAAAAATCTAAATCTGCTGCCACGGCACACTGTAGGAAAAACAAACAAACATGGATAAACGTGTAAACATTCGCGATTATTTACACCTTCCCGAAAAGAAAAGCGATTTCGAATGCGCATCCAACCAGGATAGGATGGACGAATTTTTGGAAGCGTTCACGCTCTACGACAAAAACGGAGACGGATTAATCGATACCAAGGACATTGGAACGGTCATCAGGTCTCTGGGTCAGGTTTTAACGGTTTGCGAAGAAACGGATATAGTCGCACAATTCGCTCAACAAAATTGCCGTGAGAATAATTTTCTTTTTTTTTTTTTTTTTAAACCTTTTGTTGCTCCCCCCCCGTTCATTTATTTATTTCTTACCCCCCCCTTACCCCCCTTATTCAGACGACGTGGATTACATTACGTTCGTTAAACTCATCAAAGGAAAGTACAGACAGTTCGACGAAGACAACGAGCTCAGAGAATCTTTTCGAATGTTCGACAAAGAGGAAAAAGGTTTCATTTGCATCGAAGACCTTAAGAAAATGCTCACGACCATGGGGGAACCACTCTCCGAGTCGGAAATGAACGATTGGCTCCGCGACGCTTCCTCTTACATACGTAAAAAAAAACTTTTCTACGAAGATTTTGCCACTTTCATGCTGTCCAAATGAAAAAACAACCCCCCCTCCCCTCCACCCCCTATCATCTCCTCTCCTCTCTTTCGTCGTCAACGAGAGAGAGAGAGAGAGAGAGAGAGAGAGAGAGAGAGAGAAAGAGAGAGATGGACAACAAACCGCACATTCATCCGGATGCCAAAAACAAATCGTGTCTATTAATAATAATGATAATAAAACAAATACTTTTAAAAAAAAAAACAAATTTTATTATTATTATTATTATTATTATTTTTCCACGCGTTCAAAAATAAAAAAATAAAAATAAAAATCGTGTAAATAAATTTGACAGTGTCAGCAGAAAACGGAAACAACATTATTAATATATATTATTTACACGCCGCCGCCGCCGCCATCATTCTCACGCGGAAAATAATAATAATAATAATATTTGTAAACAAACATAATAATTTTTTTTAAAATTTTTTTTTTTCGAGGGGGTGAATAAGGAAGGGAAAGTGAAAGGGTTGTGGAAAAATAAAAAAGAAAAATGGCGGAATCACGTGATTGGAAAGACTACACGCGAAAAACGGAAGTCATTCACGAAACTAAAAAAACAACCGAAGATTCTTTGTGCGAATCCATCGAGTGCGATTTGACGGATTTCCGTTTGAACGATTTGGAATCGGAAATATGTCGGTCTTTTGCTCTTTTGGACGTTCGCGGAGAGGGCGTCGTGTCGCTCGAAGAATTGAAAAAATTACTCGTTTCCCTCGGGAGATTGCCACACGACGACGAGCTTGCCAACATTGTACGATACGCTTTGACCGAAGGCTGCGGTAACAATCTCTCTCTTTCTTTCTCTCTCTCTCTCTCTCTCTCTAATCATAATCACCGATTTATTTTTCTCCCCCCCCACCTCCCGTTGCAGAAGAAAGCTACGGAATGAATTTCAAATGTTTCAAATCATTCGTCATGAAACAACTTTGCGTGCGAACGGAAGAGGAAGACGAACAACTTCGGAGAGCTTTCGATATTTTCGACGTGACGTCACCGCCGACGGGAAAATTAAACGTCAAAGTTTTAAGGCATCACCTCAAGAAACTGGGAGATAAATTGACGGATGACGAAATCGATTTCCTATACAGGGAAGAAGATTATTGGATGCTCGACGAAATCGATACAATCGAATACGAGAAAATAATTTGCAAATTATTAGACAAACCATGCGATTCACAATTTTTAGGCTGTTAAGTTGTCGCCCCTTTTTTTTTTTTTTTTTTTTTAACGTACTCGAAAAAATGTCCATTTTGTAATAATAAAAAAATAAAATAAAATAAAACTCAAATTATTTTTTTTTTCAATTTTTAAATACCCCTCTCCCTCGTTCACATTTTCATAGAGTAAGAGAAAATCGTGGCATTAGATAATAATAATAATAATAATAATAAAGTCGATGAAATTTTTTTTTTTTTTTAAAAGCGAAACGAAAACCCGAGTGTGACAATTAACAAACGTCGGAAACAAAGTTTAATAATAATAATAATAATAATAATAATAATAATAATAATAATAATAATAGTAAACAAATAAATCGTACAAAATGGCCGACGAAACGACGACGGAATTACCGGAGGAAAATCTTTCGGTTGAAAAAATCGCAGAATTCCGCGAAGCTTTCAACCTTTTCGACAAAGATGGCGACGGTAACATAACGACCAAAGAATTGGGTACTTGCATGAGGTCTCTCGGGCAGAATCCGACGGAAGCGGAAATCGCGGAGCTGATTTGCGAAGTAGACGTAGAGGGAACAGGTACGATCGATCACCCGCCTTTCTCTTTTCTACTCCCACCACCACCACCACCACCCCCTCTTCTTTTTTTTCTCTCTCTCGTGATTTTGCATTCTCCTACCCCTACCTCCTAACCCTTAACCACGCGTCCCCACATCCCACACGTGTTTCGTTATGTTAAACGAATCTTCTCTTTTTTTTTCCCACCCCCCTCACAGGTTTAATCGATTTCACATCGTTCGTTTTGATAATGGCTAAAAAGATAAAAGACGTCGACAACGAGGAAGAACTCAGAGAAGCTTTTAGAATATTCGATAAGGAAGGTAACGGATTCATAACCGCATCCGAGCTCAGGCACATAATGATGAACTTGGGTGAAAAATTAACGGAAGAAGAATGCGACGAAATGATTAGGGAAGCGGATGTCATGGGTGACGGAAATATCAATTACGAAGAATTCGTCACCATGATGATGTCAAAGTGATTAGGAAATTATTATCATTATCATTATTCGTATTATTATTATCATCATCATCACTCACAGTTTACGATAAATAAATACAAATAAATAAATTTAATAATAATTTTTTTTTTTTTTTTTTTTTTAAGCGAAATTTTTTCAAATTGCCCAACCAAAAAGGTTGTTGCGTTTTTAACGTTCCGACATTTTTCCAAAGCCTCGTTTACTCTCGTTTAAACCGCCCCCCCGCCCCGCCCCGATCGTTCGTTTGCCGCCGGCGGTGTTTTCAGCAGACTAAAAATAACCACCGGCCGCGACATTTTTTTTGTTTTTTTTTTTTTTTTTTTTTTTTTTTCCCCGATAATTTTCCGTCGCGGGCGTTTTATCGAATTCTGAATGAGAAAAAAAAAAAAAAGGAAAAGGAAAAAGGAAAAAGGAAAACGTGATAATGGTACGAATGTAAATTCATTATTCGTTATTGAAAATGATGAAAAACAAAACTGACAGCAGTCTCGGAGCTGAGCATTCAGATTTGAAACATTCGACGAGTGAAACCGAAGAACTCCAATCCTCGGAACTCGAAGTGATAAAAGATGAAGAGCCTCAAATAGATCTGAGACAGTTTCTGACGAAAGAACAAGTGCAAGAATTCAAAAGAATTTTCCAGGCTTACGATGTCAACAACGAAGATAAAATCCCGGTCAAAGCCATCGGAATCATTTTGAGAAACATGGGATTGAATCCGTCCAAGGCGATTCTCAAGAGAATGACAAAGGAAATCGATCCGGATAAAAACGGTATGGGCACGATGTGAGAGAGAGAGAGAGAGATAGAAAATTCACCACTAATCGAATCCCTCCCCAACCCCTTCCACTCTTTTGCAATTTAGGTTACGTGGATTTCGAAATGTTTTTACATCCCATGGCACGAATGATACACGAAGTCCCGGAAAATCACGAGGACATAATCGCAGCATTCAAAGTTTTCGACGAAGACGACGAAGGTTTCGTATCCGTTAAAGCTTTGACCGAATACCTCACGAACCTGGGCGAAGATTTGGAAGATTTCGAAATTGATAATTTGATTAAAATGGCGGATCCCAAAGGCACGGGCCGAGTCTACTACGAAGGATTCGTCGAGAAAATTTTCGGAATCGTAAGAAACGGGAAAAAAAAGAAAAATCTCAAAGGGAAAAAGGGAAAAAAACGAAAAAAAAATGAATGAATGAATAATAATAATAAAAGAGCCCCAGGTTCGACTCGTTTTATGACGTCATTTATCCTTTTAAATAATGACGTGTAAATAAAATTTTTTTTCTCACGAGCAAAACAATTTCCTTACTTTTTATTTTTCTGGAAAAAAAAATTTTTTTTACATCATCAAACGAAAATGGCGACGATCTCACTCGCATGTGACCTACCTTAAACAGAGATAGAGATAGAGTTAGAGAGAGGGAGGAGAGGGAAGGGGGGGGGGAAAGAACCTTCGAATGTGTGCAATCGACTGAATTCGTCATTCGACATACATGTTGTGATACAATGCCTAAGAAAAGCATCGCGTATCACTGCCAGGTATTCGATAAACGTAGGTGAGTCACGGTCATCGTGCAATCAGGAAAAACCATTACGTAAAAAACAAACAAACAAACAAACAAACAAGCAAACAACAACCAACCATTTTTTTCAGTAACTAAAACAACAATTCGAAACTGATTTCGAAAAAAAAAAAAAATGAACTCGCGTAAAGTAAACCGCCAAAAAAAAAAAAAAAAATTTTTTTTCGAAATCGATTCAAACACTCTATGAAATTTTTTTTCTCATGCCTCCTCCCCTCCCCTCACCTCCCCTCTTCACGACACACGCATCAAACGTAAATAATAATTTGGTAAACAAAATTATATCGATCGACGGCAACCTCATTTTTGAAAAGGAAAATGTTTCCGGATAAAGTAGAATCACACGACGAGAACGAACAAGATGCGGCGGAAACGGAAGACGAAGAAGATGAGAAACCGGTCGTAGACGAACTCACTCAATCCATAAGCGACGACATCGACGAATGTTTGGAATATTTCGACAAAGACAAAATGGGCGTTTTCGATGCCGCGCACCTGGAAAAAGCTTTGAAAAGCCTCGGACTATTTCTCACGCACACGGAAATGAAAGATTTGGAATCGGATTTGTCGAAAGACGGTAAATAAATAAAATAATAATAATAATAATAATAACGGTGATGATATGAATGATGATTACAAATTTTCTTTTTCCTCCTCCTCCTCCTCCTTCCCCGCGCCTTCCCCCCGCCCCCTACACAATAGGACAGATCGAATTTAATGATTTCAAACGGTTCGCGATTGAAAGAATAAAAGATCTCGATCCTTTCGAAGATTTGAAAAATTCATTTCAAGTTTTCGATCCCGACAACGAGGGATTCATACCGTCGGATCGTTTGAAAAAATGGATGACGACGCTCGGGGATCCCCCGCTCACGGAAAAAGAAGCCAAAGAAATGGTCAAAATGGGAGATCCCAACAACAAGGGATTCGTTATGTACGATTTTTTGGCCGCCGTTTTATTACAATGATAACAATAATAATAATAATAATAAATGATACCCAAATCTGTCGTTTCGCGTTAAAAAAAAAAAAAAAATTAAAAACCGTCGGGGATTCATTTTTTTTTTTTTTTGGTTTTTTTTCGGGCGTAAATTTTTGAAACTCACCGAAGCATTCCCTTGTGCTCGTTCCACCAGGTCGTTATCGATGATTCCCATTCTTCTTTGGACATTTTGTGCTGGTCCATGACTCTTTGAGGCAACAGTCTGTCGTTTGACAAAAATCCGGATCCGTGGTATGCCTTGTTGTAATCTCCGTATCTCGCTTGTACGGCGTACGAAGCGAGAAGAACGGACGTTTCCGGCGGACAGTAAATCTCGTCGGAAAGTATCGAATTTTTAACCTGAAAATTTATTATTATTATTATTATTATTAATATTTATCAACCATTTTTCCTATTTCTTTTTTCGATAAAAATTTGAGAATAAAATTTGAGAAGTACCTGAAGGTAAAAAAGTCTCAGCGTTATATCTTGTATCAATTCTTCCGCCACGTCTTCCGGATAGAATTTGGCGCGAAATTTGAATTGGAGTGGATTTTCCTTTTTCACTTCGTGGTTCATAACCTATAATTCATCAAATGATTAATTCGTTATTTTTTTTTTTTTTTTTTTTTTTTTAAACTAATTTTTTAAACAAGACGTGTAATCTAGAATCTAATTACACTTTGGCGAAAGGGATTCGCAATAATTCTATTTAAAAAAAAAAAAAAGAGAGAGAGAGAGAGAGAGAGAAAACCACTACTGGAATTTTCTTTGGCACAAAATTTTATGCGACAATTATATTATATCTATTGTCTAAAACAACCACCTCAACAAAAACAAAAGGGGGGGAGAGGGGAAATCAATTAGAAAATCATATAGGTCGAATGGTGACTAAAAAGAAGTCACGTGTGTGTGTGTGACGTCACAAGTCTTACAAACTTTCGTCAGGTTTTCCTGGAGGAGAGACTACGAAAGTTTTTATTTGTTTTCGTAATTATGCTCTCCGTCATAACTACGATAAGAAAACACATATATATGCGCATAGTTATGCAATTACATCGTCGTTCCCTCATTATTATTATTATTTTTTTTTTTTATTTCCGCGTACAAAAAGAGAGAGAGAGAGAAATAATAACACAGCGAGAGAGAGAGAGAGAGAAAAGACACACCTCGAAATATTATTGATGGTTTTTAAAATGATGATCGATAGTTGACGACACGTATGATAATAATAATGATGATATCGAAAATGATGATGACGATGACGATGACGATGATGATGATTAATTTTAATTTTTTTTTTTTTTTCGTAATAAAAATTGATGACCATCACATCATTCTATCGATTCGTTATCAAACCACTACTAATGAATACGCCTTGAAAGAAACGAGTGGAGGGGTGGTGGAGGAGAGGGGAGGGGAAAAATCACGTGGCTTTATTATCGCCACGACAAAAAACAAGCAATAAAATATAATAACTACTGCTACTACTACTACTGCTACCACGTCACGAGAGGGGGGAAAAACTCTTTTTATATATATAAATGCAACAACGAATATGCAAACACACGGATTAATGCGACTATCACACGATATCGAATGCTAAATTATTTATTATTATTATTATTACTCATTTTTACTACATTAGGGGGGTGACGGGGTAGTGGAGGGAGATGAATCGAAACGGATGTGAGAATACAACAAGCATTGTTTTCCATTATTAGTAAATCATTTTTTTTTTTTTTTTTGCTAAATTCGAATATCATCTACCACCAAAAGTGTTCTTCTTACCCAAATCATTCCGGCCTCATTTTTCTTTAAACAATAATTTTTAACGAATCTTTTAGCTACTTGAAGATTTTCCTGCGTGTTTTCCGTTTTATTATTATTATTATTATTATTATTGCCGGAAAAAAGAAAAAAAATTCCATTATTATTAATAATTGTTTGGAACGGGGGGTGGGGCCGTGGGGGGCGTGGGAGAGGAAAAAAACGAAACAAAACAAAAATCCTACCAATCTCTCCACTTCCCCTCCTATTTCTCACACCTGCCTAACGTAATAATAATAATTTTCCGATTGTTTAATATTGATGCTGGGGGGACGGGGGGAAGTACGATACGGAAGTACGGTAGGGGAAAGGGAAGCTCAGGCATTTCCGGCGAACGACACCAAGAAGAAGAAAAAGAAAATGTCGCCAAAAAATTTCAACGCGATTTATTACGTTAAAAGCGTTTCATTTGACCTTTTCGTTGTTTCCCCCCCCCCCCAGGAATGAAAATTTTTGACATTTTGAAAAGTCAAAAAAGAAAAGTCGGCTTTTTCCTTTTGCCTCATTAACACAGATTTCTCGTCTTTTAATTTAAAAATAATAATAATAATAATAATAATAATAATAATAATAATAATAATAATAATTTTCGAAGAAAACAGTTTCTGATTCAGTTCATCACATGATCGATTGCAGCTTACGTAATAAATTTTTGCGCTATCCCGGTAATGACGTCATTGTTACGTTTTAACATAAAAGTATTTTTAAATGCAACACAATTCCTTTCCTGGAAATTCTTACATCTTTCGAATTTTCTCTCATTATCGAAACAACACTTCAATTATTATTATTATTATTATTATTATTATTATTATTATTATTATTATTATTATTATTATTATTATTATCGATAACATTTGAAAAGTACTAAACGTTCGCTTAATCCAAAACATTGTACCGTCCACCCTCCCCCCTTCTCCCCCGAAAAAAAAACCTAGACAAGAAAACCCATAACGGATCAGGACGACTGGAAGGCGTGAGTGGTACCAACTTTAAAAAAAAAAAAAAAAACTGAAACTTTTCTAAAGTGTGTGTGTGTGTGTGTTTAAAAGCTTTTACTCGCGAATGACAAAGGTTCGATTAGAGACGGTAAACTGATTAGAACGTCCTTGAAACAAATCCATAAAGTTAATAAATGGTAAAGAAAGAGAGAGAGAAAGAGAGAAAGAGAGAGAGAGAGAGAGAGAGAGAGAGAGAGAGAGAGAGAAAAGACAAAGAACGAAAAATTTCAACTTAATAATGCTACGTTTAAACGTTTCTCTCTCTCTCTCTCTCTCTCTTTTTTTTTCCTTTCAAGGTCCCCCACACTTATCAAACTTTTTTTTAAAACACAAATTCATATTCATAGTTTTTTTTTTTTTTTTTTCGCTTTCACGGCAATAAATACGTTATAAAAGAAAACTTAATGGAGCACCTGACTCTGACTCACCACCACCACGGCCTAACAACAAACCTAATAAAAATTCAGGTATTCGCAGAATTAGAAAATGAAAAAAAAATTTAAAATAAAAAAATCCAAATTCGCGGGTTTCGACAGGTTCAATTTCCGGTCGAACCAAAGTCGCGGGGGGCGGGGGAGAAAACCAACGAACGGAAAAATCGATCCGGGGTGGCGGTGGTGGGCCTTTTATCATCCACCACCTGTTCTTCAATTTTTTTAAAGTTTCACTCTACGTTCGGCAAAATAATAAAAAAAATTACAAAACTAGTTTTCGAATCTCGGTAAATTAATGAAAAAGAAAGAGAGAGAGAGAGAGAGAGAACAGCAGAAGACGTTTGAAATCAAGGTCGAGAATGCTGCGCAATAAAAATCATTTTCTCTCTCTCTCTCTATCACGTTTTCTTAAGTGGAATTATTACAAAATTATTTGCAGACGTTAATTATAATATACAAAAAAAAAAAAAAAAAAAATTCCAAACGTTTGAATAGGAAAAATAAAAAATAAAAATAACCGGAAGTAGAACAAACTCCTATGGGAAGGAAAACTTTTGCGTTGGTTAAAACGATTCGTTGACAATTTTTTTTTTTTTTTTTATTTGCTTCCCGACATTTTTCTAACAAGTTTTGATGATTGAACTTTGAATCGGGGGGGGGGGGGAGGGGGAAGGAAGGGAAAAACAGAAAAAACAAAATGGCTTCGATCGTAACCTTGTTCGTAACAATTACAATAACAATCAACAAACGTCTCGTGATGTGAGTGAGCTCTGTGACGAAAGAAGTAATGTCACGCATGAGAAATTAAAGATTAAACAATACGAGAAAAGGAAAGGTAAACTTTGAAATATGTCATGTGGGGGCGGGGGCGGGGGCGGGGGGAAAGAATGAAAGAAGAAGAATAAGAAGATTACTTATCGCAACGTTGCCAAACACAAACCTTTTTGTACAATTTTATCCACGTCAGGGATCCCTTTGAATCCGTGTACTGGAGTCCGAAAAACCAAACTTCTCGAAGTCCAATAGTTTTGACGACTTGATCAAACAATTGTTTTCCGGTTGTCGCCGGTTGGATGGCGAACTCGAGTTCCGCATCCATCGTCGTCACCCTCACGTTCATCTGGAAATTTAAATTAAAATATTTAATTAATTAATTTTTTTTGTGTTGTTGATCTCGCGTCAAGTCATTAAAATTTTTGTACTTTGAAATTATTATTATTATTATTATTAATTTTTCCCCCCCCCCCTCTCTTCCTCTTCCCGGCACCACTACTTCGCGGTTTCCCCTCTTCCTACTCCTCCTCTCCCTCCTCTTTTTAATAAATTTTATTTTACGAGAGAAAAAAAAAAGCAAACGCTTTTGTCGCGAAATCATTGCCTGCAATTTTAAAACAAAGCAGAAGACATCGTCTTACACACGCACACGCACACGCACACACACGCATTTACGTATTTCTTAATTAGTATAATAATAATTAAAACTATATCAGTTTCATTATTTCATTTCTTTTTTGTTGTTGCCATTCTTTCGAGAATCCGAATGGAGTGAATCACCGTGGCAGAAGACAAAACATACAATGATAATTACAGCCTGGAGATGTCGTCGTCGTCGTCGTCGTCGTTCTCGCATGTACTCAACAAGACGAAGAAAGAAAAAAAACCGGAAGTGGTGCGTACGCGGCGACTTTCTACCGTCACGTCGTTTGCTACGAATGCTTCGAGTTATTTTTCGAAAAACGCCCTCCCTCCCCCCCTCAAAAAAAAAAAAAAAAGAAACGAACGAACGAACAAACTATGACGTCATTCACGTTATTCCCTCGTGCAATTTTTCGCATCGACAACGACGGGGCGCGTACAACAACAAACGAAACGACCGTAAAAATCTTCGTGGGCGTCGTGTTTCCATCGTCGACAAACGTCTTTGTGTGCGTACAAACACACGCACACGCACACGTACACA